CAAAATCTCTGTAGATGTTTATTGAAAATAATAATAATTTAAAAAAATTAAACAGTTGGGAGTGAATCTAGAATCTAAAGATACAAAAGACCTATATAAAAAACCTTACAAAACATTACTACAAGAAGTGAAAAGTGACCCGAAGAAATGAAAGTATATACCATACTAATTAATAGGAGGACTCAATAATGTGAAGAAGGACAATCTATAAGTTCAAAACAATAACAAAACAGACACCAATGCCACTCTTCAACAAGATGGAAAATATAATTTTCAATTTTATTATAAATGGAAAGAGACCTTGAAGAAGTAAAGCACTCCTGAGTAAGAGAAGCGAGGTAAGAGCCATTATACTCTCTGAATTCAAATTCTACTACAGAACCGTGGTGGTCAAGACAGTGTGGAACTGGTACAGTGACAAACATGTAGGCCAATGGAATAGAATTGAGGACCCAGAATTAAAATCATCTACGTTAGCTCAACTGCTTTTGACAAGGAGATGAAATAAGTTCAATAGGGAAATGATAGCCTTTTTAACAACTGGCATGGGCAAAATTGGAAAACCATCTGTAGAAAACTCAAGCAAGACCCACACCAAACCCAATTCAAGGTGGATCAAGGACTTGGGACTAAAACCAAAGACTATAAAGAGAAAAGCTTGGAAGAACTCTAGAAGCCCTAATCCATGGTATGAACAATCTTCCAAGCATAAGGAAAAACTTGGAACCAGGAGAGAACAAAATAGATGAATGGGACTTCTAAGAATCAAATTCCTATACACATCAAAAAACTTCTCCAATACAATAAAAAGGAAAGCCACAGACTTGGAAAACTATTTGGTAAAGACATATCTGATAAATGATTCATATCAAAATTTATAGAATACCTCAACACTTCACCAAGAAAAAGATAAACAAACAACTGCAAAATGGGCAAGGATATGAATAGATACTTCACCAAAGAAGACATTTAGATGGCAAACAAATACATGACGAAATATTCAAAATACCTAGCTATCAGAGAGATTCAAACAACTGTAAGATATCATCTAATCCCAGCAACAACAGCAAAGTTCAACAGAGTAGCAAACAGAAAAGCTGGAGATACTGTAGAAAGATTAAAACTTTTATTCATTGCTGGGAGGAGTGTAAAATGGTTCAATCACTATGGAAGGTGGTTTGGCACTTTCTCAAAAAGTTGAAATTGAAATACCATTTGACCCAGCAGTTTCACTACTGCAAATGTACCCTAAAGAAACCAGAACTACCATCCAAAGAGATACATGTACATCCATGTTTATTGCTGCATTATTAACAATAGCAAAGAGATAGAAGCTACTCAAGTGCCAATCAGCAAGTGAATGGATAGAACTGTAATATATATTCATAAAATAGAGTAATACACAGCACTATAAAAAAACAATGAACTTAGAAAAATATTAGACAACCTGGTTGACTCTAGAGGACATTACGTCGAGTGAAATATCTCAGTCATAAAAGGACAAATACTGTATAGCACCACTATTATAATGAATGTCTGAAATGGAGGGTTGGAGAAGAATAGCATTAGAGTGGATAGATAATAAGCATTATATTGGAACAGATGAATGAAAGAACTGTTTAAAAGGAATATTTGATTAGTCATTATGCGTATGACAACATTCCAGAACAAGATGTACATTAAAAAGAAGATGAGGAAAGGTAATAGTGCAACAATGAATGA